ATTCCTCAGCACCACATAAGCAAAAAGAAAAAAGGCGCTTCGGGCCTGGCCCTGACCCCGGACGGCTCTGGCGTCACGGAGTCAGCCCCTCCCCCCATCCCGAGGGATGACACCTCCCTGCCCCCCCCCCGGCCTCTCCCCCCCCAGCCCTAGCTGGAGAACGGAGCTGACTTCTGGGGCGCAGATTCCATCCGGACTGGGGGCCACCCCCAGCGGGGTGGGAGGACCCGACCGGGTCTGGAAGGCTCCCACCTTCACTGCTCGCTGTGTGACCTTGGGCTGCAGGTTTAATAAGTGAGATAAAGTGACAGACCATGCCTGGCCTCTTGTAAGTGTCTGTGAGCTGTGTCCTCGGCCCTCAGGGGGATGGGACAACCCGTCCAGCCCAAGGTGCTTGTGGGGCTTAGGGGCACCGGGCCGGCGAGCTTGCTTAGCAAGGCTGAAGGGCCCAGCTTCCATCCCCAGCATGGGGGAGGCTGGGGAAGGGGGCCATTGCCTTTCAGCTCTCCAGGGAAAGGTCTGACATTCAGTCACCTGGCTCCTTTGGGGCAGGCAGCTATTCCGTGACTGTACCACCCGGTCCTCAGTCGTGGGAGAGAGACAGGAAGTGAGAGCGGTGCATTCAACCTCCACTCTCAAGTTCATCAGAATCTATCTCTGTCTGAGGGCCCCTTGTGCACTGGGCAGTGGTAGATGGAGGCCCAACACTGGAGGGTCTTGCTGAGCCTTCCCTAATCCAGAATGGAGTTCAGGAGTTCCAGTCAAAAACTCATTGTAGCCAGACTCCGGGTGATTCATGCCTATAATCCTAGCTGATTAGGAGACCAAGATAGATCTGAGGATTGAGGTTCAAAGCCAGCCTGGACAGGAAAGTCGGTGACTCTTATCTCTAATGACTCACCAAAAAGTGGACATGGAGCTGTGGCTCAAGTGGTAGAGCTCCAACCTTGAGGGGAGGGAAGCTAGGAGAGATGACAAGGCCCTGAATTCAAGCCCAGTACCAGCACACATTCTCACACACTCATTGTGTATTAGTACCACGTGGATGGTTGTTCTATTTCTGAAACAGTAGGTGAGGATGAGATATTGATACTGTGGGTTTAGAGGCCAGAACTACCAACATAAGGTGTAGGGTAGCTGACCAGATCTAGCCAGCTCAGCCTGTCCCATCCCCTTTTCTCAGTAGCCACACTCACCTGCTCCCTAAATTCTGGTGGCTGGAAGCAAGAGGTCCCCCCTCCTCTGCTACCAGCCTCTCAGGAAGGAGGACCTGGCTTTGTTGGGGGTCCCTTCATTCCAGGGGCCTAGGGTGCCCTGTGGGAGAACCTAGTTTGCAGCATCTCACCTAATGGCAGGAAGCCCAGTGCCTATAATGAACATCAGAAGGAACTGTCAGATAATCAGCCTGCGCCTTTTGCTTTCTAAAAAAAAAAAAAAAAATCTTTAGTTGCCATTCAAAAAAGCAGTATATGAATACAATGAATCTTAATCTTTGCCACACCTTTCATCAATCTTCCCTCTCCCAACTTCACCCCTTTCCTCAATGTCCTGGTGCCTTCTAAGATTTCATGTGTGGTAGGTAGGACATGTTTGGGGATAGATTGCTTTGTTCGTGTGAACAGGAAAAGTTAGAATCAGTAGAACTTAAAGCAAATATGCATTGTCATCAAGAAGGCTGAAGAAGTAGAAAGACCTTCAGGAAAATAAGGAGGAAGTGAGTGGCCATGGCCATCAGGAAGTGCTAGACACAGGGCTGGATTCTGAGTAAAGTGTGTGCTAAGATCCTCAGACTGTGGGCTTGGGAACCCACAACACCCTCCTCAGCGGAAGCCATCTGCTCACAAATGAATATCCAGGGAAGAAAGTATTTCAGGTGTCTGTGGCTGGGATGGAGGTAGGGTGGGATGTCAGGGTGGGCCCCCACCTGTGGAAACAAAAACAGCATGAGTGATGGGGCTGAGTCCATGGCCGAACTGGACTATTCTTGATTTCTTCTGCTTTTTCTCCAGTGTGTCCCTCCTCCATTCCTACTTACATTCCTAGCCAGAGTTGGGGGAAAGAGAACTGACAGAAAGGGAAGAAGTGGTCCCCATCTCTCACCTCTGACCATTCCTGTCTGATGATATAGGTCAATCTACTCTAAGAGTTCCAAGGTGGCCAGGACACACTGCCCTGGTTTCAGTAGTCAGCCCACAGCGTTCTCTCACCTCTTGGTCTTTGAACTTTCTCCTCTGCCAGAAAAGTTTTACCTCATGATATAGCTAGCCTGGGAGTACAGCTCAGTGGTATAATGCTTGACTAGTGGATGTGCAGCTCTGGGTTACAATCCTTAACACAACAAACAGCCACATCTAAGATTCACCATTATGTCCATTAGTCCTTGGAATTCTGGACTCAAATGTCACTTGATCAGAAAAGCATACCAAGATCATCATATCTACAATGTTCCCCTGAATTCTTTACCCTCCCTGCTTTCCATCTAGTTCCCTCCTCTTCTTCTAATGCTGGAAGTTCTGTCCATCTAAGAAGTACTACAGTTTAATTCTTTATTTTACTTTCTGGAATTGGACAACACTTCATTCCATAAATCAGGACTGAATTCTATACAACAGAACAGACAGAAAAAGAGTTTGAAGAGAGCAGAAACAAATAAACAAAAAGAAGGCTGGTCATTTCTGTTTCTTTTCCTTGTGAGGTGCTATGGAGAAGAATGATAGAAAAATAACTGATTGGTTAATGTCGGGTTAATTCAAGTTAACGTCTATCTGAAAGGATTAAGGCTAGGAACTTCATTGTTATACCAACTGAAATTGCCACTTTGGGAAATTTGGTTATTTCTTCTAATATTTTTTCCTAAGAAAAGCAGCTTCATTTTAGCCAGGTGACATGAAACTTTAGCATAGGTGACTCCATTTTGACTTTAGCCTGGTCTGTTCTCTGGTGTCTAGTTCAAGAGCTTAGCCAAAACAAGGGCCCCCATGTGATCCCCTCTCCTCCTATCCCCTCCCCTCTTTTCTTCTCCCTTCTCCGCTTCTCCCCTCTCTTCCCCTCCTAACTTCCCTTTTTATTGCTCTTTATTTCATTCTTTTACTAGAGTTTTAAACTTGAGGCCCAAATGCCAGGAGTTCCATATGTCAGGACCAGCCATTCACACCTGTATGCCAAATAAAGAGACATGGTGAAGAGTAGAGAGAGGAGATTTATTACATGGCATGGATATATCATGGGAACACAGCACTTCAGTACATCTTCAGCCATCTTCAGGGGTATAGGCATGTGCTTTAGGGGTATGTGTTCGTGTGTGTGTGTGTGTGTGTGTGTGTATGTGCACGCGCACGCGCGTGTGCCTGTGTGTCTGTGCTAGTCCTGGGGCTTGAATTTAGGGTCTAAGCACTGTCCCTTTTGCTCAAGGCTAGTGCCCTACCGCTTGAGCCCACAGCTCAAGCTGGGAGTAGTCCATTTGGAGATTAAGTGTCTCACACACTTTTCTACCTGGGCTGGCTTTGAATCATGATCCTCAGATCTCAGCTTCCTGAGTAGCTAGGATTAAAGGCGTAAGCCACTGGTGTCTGGCTGGGCTGGGGGTAGAGGGAGAGAAATAGGCCTAATTATTACATAGTCCTATATAAAATGACTTGGTTCATTATTTCAGTTCTTGTTTTGAGCAGGGTCCTGTTCCTTTAGAGGTATTTTTGGTGCCTTATCATAAAGATGTTATAGATCAACTCTGTCTTTCTCAGAACCATTGGTGATTGAAAATTGACTACAGAGAGAAAAGCTTAGCACCGAGACAGACAATGGAGGCAGAGATGTCAAGTTTTTTTTTCTCCCACTATTAATTAATTCTTGGGCCCAAGTAAGGAATTGCAGGTATGTGCCACCATGCTAGTTAAATAGGTTCTCAATATGTAACCCAGGCTATATTTTGAACCTGCAGACTCAAGTGATCCTCCTGCCTCAGTCTCCTTGTTAACAGGGACTACAGGAATCTGTCAATAAGCCCAGATCCATAATTTTTTAACAATGCTAAAACACCAAGGACTTTGCCACGTTCACTGCTTACATCAGAGCCAGGCACACAGCAGGTGCTCAATAAATATTCATTGAATACATGGATTGATCATTCACTTACTATGTACTCACTATTGTCTAGGCCAGAGAAGGACAAAGATGAAAAACAGAGTCCTTGTGGGGTAACCACTGAGTCTGAGGATGAAATCTTTCATTTCTGTTTCACTCATGGCCTCCTCAGTTCAGGTTCTATACCTTCTGTTTCTCCCCCATATGTCTTTTCTCTATGCTCTCTAGCTGCCTTGCCTCTGCCTGTGGTAGGCCCCTCACTCTGGCCAGGTGCCTGCAAGACCACCTCTGTTCTCACTCTTCTGGTGTTTCAAGGGTCTTCCATTGAGCTCTAGCCGCACTGGCCTCTCAGGCAGGGTTGGGAACTACCTCTGCTGTGGAAGCTTCTGCAATGAGCACTCTGTGTGACAGGCCTTCGCTGGCATCTGCAGTGCCTCTTCAGGGTCTCATTGATGTCTCTACCCTCTCTAATCCTCCACACACATGCCCTCTCAGTGGTCGGAGTATCAAACCCAGCCTTGAGCAAACTAGGCAAACACTCTACCGTTGAGCTACACCCCTCTTCTCACTTTGAACATTTCAAAATTGTTTCTTGGATTTATCCTTCCTTCCTTCCTTCCTTCCTTCCTTCCTTCCTTCCTTCCTTCCTTCACTCTCTTCTTACTTCCCTCCTTCCTGTTTTGCTTCTTTTTCTCCCTTCTTCCTTCCTTTCCTTCCTTCCACAAGTGGGTCTCACTATAAAGTCCAGTCAAGCTGTTACTGGTGGCTCATGCCAGTAACTGTAGCTACTCAGGAGGCTAAGATCTGAGGATCACAATTCAAAGCCAGCCTGGGCAGAAAGTCTGTGAGACTCTTATCTCCAA